CTTTAGAGGATATTTGCCCCCTCAATCTTTCAGATTCTGTATACTCCATATGTGCTCCTTATAGTTCTATTTTTCAGGCAGGCATTACTTTAATATTTGAGGATTACTGGGCCACTTTTCCTAATTCATATTTTCATGGCCATGAATTCATTTGCTTTAGAGAAAAACAAGAGATCATCTATATGTATACAGTATGACTTCTAGTGAAAAGTAATTCAGTGAACTTGTATGTCATGTTGGTTTATATAAAACAAAATAATGGTTGTGATTATTTGTTATTACCAAAAACAACAACAACAAACAAACAAACAAAATCCCTGATTGCTTTAAAAAGCTCTTAATAACCCAGGACTAAAGGCTAATACCTTAATAAAAAAAAAAAAACCTCTCTGAAACCAATAGCCACATAATTCCTCACAGAAACATATTCATTAAAATTGGAAATAAAATAAGGTATATAATTTTCACATTATTTAACATTGGGTTAGAACTCTGGTCAATGCAAATAATAAATGGCACAGAAATGAGATCTACATTTTGGAAAAGAGGAAACATAATTATCATTACTTATGGATGATATTATATACTAGAAAAGCCATGAACATAAAATGAAATTTCTAGAATTGATTCAAGCTCAATAAGATGCTAGACATAAATATGCAATTGGTTCTTTGTTATTAGAAGACAGCATAAATTTGCTTGTTCTTAATACAGCAGCAGTAATCAGTTACAAAACATAATATAATTCAATGGGGACTCTATTCACAATGTATTCTGATCTCCAAAGAAATGCAGAGGACCTATATGAAGAAAACCACAAAAATGCTGAGAGATTATCAAAAGAGAGACTTCATGTTCTTCGATGGAAAGAACAAATTTTGTAAATTTGTGAATCATATTTTATATGTGTTACTCAATGCCAATTAAAGTCACAGTTTTCTTTAGAAAATGATTACAAAGTTTGGAAAAATAACGAGTGACTATAACAGACTTACATAAAATTATAATAATTTAAGACATATATAGAGTACAAGCATAAGGGTAGACAGACACATGTACAAAACAGGCTTTACTACATTCAAGAATGAATATGTGATCAATGGGGCACTGCAAACCCACAACAGGAAAGTATTATTCAATAAACTGCTTGCGGGGGGGGGGGGGGGGGGCGCCTAGGTGGCTCAGTAGGTTAAGCATCAGATTTTGGCTCAGGTCATGATCACACTGTCAGTGAGTTCGAGCCCCAAGTCACGCTCTGTGCTGACAGCTCAGAGCCTGGAGCCTGCTTCTGATTCTGTCTGCCTCTCTCCCTGCCCCTCCCCCACTCACACTGTGCTCTCTCGCTCTCGCTCTCTGTCTCTGTCTCTCTCTCAAAAATGAATAAACATTAAAAAAAATTTAAAAACTCTTTGCGAAATACTCATTAAATATTTTCGGAAAAATCAATTCAGATACTCATCACACTTTTGGGGTAGGCTAAAAGGATAAAAGCTAAATAAGTAAAACCATTTCAACAGATCTTGACAAAAATAGAAGTAAATCTCAAATTTCTTGAGTGGGAAAAACCAGCTTTGAAAGGATTAAATAATTCAGATAAAAATGCCCAGTAGACTCAAAATTTAAGTCTAAAATTAAAACTAAATTCTAACACCTTAAACTAATAGAACACTGTATGTTAACTATACTGGAATTAAAAAAAACTACATCCTAACATAAACTATGAATTGAAGGCAACATTTGCAGGAATGTCACAGATTTTTTAAAAAATGAATGTTGCAGTTCTTTACACTGTACGTGCAAATTTTCTGTTTATTTCAAATAAAAAATAGTTATAAATACCCTTGATATATGAAGAATTCTTGCAACATGATAAGAAAAATACTAAGACCCAGGTGACAAGTTGGTCAAGGATATAAACACAGTACAGACACCCGCGAGCATACACACACACTCACAAAAGGAGGGAAAAAAGGTGGTTAACAGACATGGCAGAAAAATAGTCAGTCTTAATAGCAAAGAAATACCAATTAAAATAAGACTTCAGGGGCGCCCAGGTGGCTCAGTCAGTTGAGCGGCTGACTTCGGCTCAAGTCATGATCTCACAGCTTGAAGGCTTGCTTCTGAGTTCGAGCCTCGCGTCAGGCTCAACAGCTTTGAGCCTGGATCCTCCTTCTGATTCTGTGTCTCCCTCTTTCTCTGTCCCTCCCCTGCTCGCGTTCTGTCTCTCTCTATTTCTGTCTCTCAAAAATAAATAAACATTTAAAAAAAGTTTTTTTAAAAAGACTTCAATTAACGCTTATCAAATTAGCAAATGTTTTTGGTTTTGTCTTTCATAATAATACCAAATGCTTGCAAGAGTATACTAAAACACGCACTCTTTCTCATGACTGGTGGGCCTATAAATAAGAATAAGCGATTTAGTTGTTTGTATCAAGAGTCTTAACATCCTTGAATACAGTATGCCCACTTTCAGGTATCATGCTAAAGGGAAAATCCTGAAAAACAAACAAAAAAAGGCTTTATGCATAAAGAAGTTCACTGAGCATCATTTATATTAATGAAAATTTGGAAACAACTTACATGTCAAGCTATTCTGGGGGTTACTGGATAAATTATGAAATATTATATAGACATTAAAATGGTATTTACAAAGAAATTTTTAACCCAGATATTTTTATTTTACTTTTTATTCCAATATAGTTAAAATAGCATGTTATATTAGTTTCAGGTGTACAATACAGTGATTCAATAATTTTATTCATTACTCAGTGCTCATCACAATTAAGTGTACTCTTAATCACCTTCACCTGTTTCACCCATCCCCCACCCACCTCCTCTGGTAACCTATACTGTTCACTATATTTAAAAGTCTGTTTTGTTTATCTCTTTTTTCTTTATTCGTTTGTTTTGTCTCAAATAACACATAAGAGAGATATGTCTTTCTCTGATTTATTTCACTTAGCATTATACTCTCTAGATCCATCTATGTTGTTGCAAATGGCAAAGTTTGATTCTCTTTTATGGCTGAATAATATTTCATTGCATATACATACCACTTCTTCTTTATCCATTCATCTCTCAATGGACACTTGGGCCACTTCTATAACCTGGCTATTGTAAACAAGGCTATAATAAACAAAGGGGTGCACGTATCTTTCCAAATTAGTGTTTTTGTATTCTTTGGGTAAATACCCAGTAGTGGGATCACTAGGTCATATGGTAATTCTATTTTTAATTTTTTAAGGAACCTCCATACTGTTTTCCACGGTGGCTGCACCAGTTTGTATTCCCATCAATACTGCAAGAGGGTTCCTATTTCTCCACATCTCTGTCAACACTTTTTGTTTCTTGTGGTTCTGATTTTAGCCATTCTGACTGGTGTGAAGTGATATCTCATTATGGTTTTGATTTATATTTTCCTGATGAGTAGTGATGTTGAGCATCTTTTTAGGTGTCTGTTGGCCATGTGTTTGTCTTCTGTGGAGAAATGTCTGTTCATGTCTTCTGCCCATTTTTTTAACTGGATTACTTGTTTTTTGGGTGTTGAGTTGTATAACTCTTTATATATTTTGGATCCTAACCCTTTATCAGATATGTCATTTGCAAATATCTTCTCCCATTCAGTAGGCTATCTTAGTTTTGTTGTTTCCTTTGCTGTGCAGAAGCTTTTTATTTTGAATAGTCCCAACAGTTTATTTTTGCTTTTGTTTCCCTAGCCACAGGAAACATATCTAGAAAAATGATGCTATGGCCAATGTCAGAGAAATTACTGCCTGGGCCCTCTTCTAGCAGTTTTATAGTTTCAGGTCTCACATTTAGGTCCTTCACCCATCTTGAGTTTATTTTCGTGTGTGGCATAAGAAAGCAGTCCAATTTTCCCAACACCATTTGTTGAAGACACTGTCATTTTCCCACTGCATATTCTTGCCTCCTTTGTTGAAGATTAATTGACCATATAATCGTGGATTTATCTCTGGGCTCTCTATTCTGTTCCATTGATCTATGTGTCTGTTTTGGTGCCAGTACCACAGTGTTTTGATTACTCTTACTTTGTAGTATATCTTGAAATCTAGGGTTGTGATACCTCTAGTTTTGTTCTTCTTTTTCAAGACTGCTTTGTCTATTCAGGTTCTTTTGTGGTTCCATACAAACTTCAAGGTTATTTGTTCTAGTTCTGTGAAAAATTCTGTTGGTTTTGATAGGAATTGCATTAAATCTGTAGATTGCTTTGGGTAGTATGGACATTTTAACAATATTTGTTCTCCCAATTCATAAGCATGGAATATCTTTTCATCTGTTTGTGTCGTTGTCAATTCCTTTCATCAGTGTTTTATAGTTTTCAGAGTAGAGGTCTCTCACTTCCTTGGTTAAGTTCATTCCTAGGTATTTTATTATTTTTGGTGCAATTGCAAATGGGATTGTTTTAATTTCTCTTTCTGCCACTTCATTATTAGAGCATAGAAAGGCAACAGATTTCTGTGTATTGACTTTGTATCCTGTGAACTTACTGAATTCTCTTATCAGTTCTAGTAGTTTAAAAAGGAATTTTTTAGGGGTGCCTGGGTGGCTCAGTCGGTTAAGCATCTGACTCTTGATTTCAGCTCAGGTCATAATCTCACAGTTGTATGATTGAGCCCCATGTTGGGCTCTGTGGGACTGCTTAAGATTCTCTACCTCTGCCCCTGCCCCACTCACACATGCATGCTCACTCTCTCTCTCTCTCTTCAAAAAAAAAAAAAAAAAAAAAAAGATTTTTTTTTTTTAATTTTTTTTTCAACGTTTTTTATTTATTTTTGGGACAGAGAGAGACAGAGCATGAACGGGGGAAGGGCAGAGAGAGAGGGAGTATCACAGAATCGAACAGGCTCCAGGCCCAGCCCAGAGCCTGACGCTGGACTCGGGAACTCACGACCGCCAGATTGTGACCTGGCTGAAGTCGGACGCGAATCCATCATGCCTTACCCAGGCTCTATTTTTTTGCACACAGATAAAATGTGCTAAATAAAGAAGGCAAGATATACAATTGTTTATATACTATGGCCACATATTTTTAAAAAGTGAAAAGGGAAAAAAGCATTTTTAAAAGTACCTGCTAACAGTAGTTGTTTTCAGGGGAGGGTCTGTTAGTTGTTTTAACACCTCTTTTATATTTGCCCCATTTTCCTCAAGGAGAGTGTATTAGTTCATACTTTTATAATATATAATATGACTCAATAACAAATCACTGCTGTGTCCAGCACAGTGGGGGAATCTGATGGTATGTGCTCCTCATAGATTCCAGGTTTCTGTCTTTAATAAAAGAATTCTATATGAACTTTTAAGGCAATGGTGGCAGTTCTTTCAGTTCCATCTACACCACCAGCCACACAGAGGCCGGGTGTATAGACAAAGGCTGACTGACCACAAATGCTATTGGGAGGCACTTCGATGCTATAAGATATCCATCCAGTGATTAGTTGGGCCTGAAGAGGAAAAAGAACCTTTTAGAAAAATAATACAATTCTACTAAAATTTTTTAACAATAAATTTTTGTTTGCTCTTTTTTAATTTAATTTTATTTTTTTAAATAGTCATAAGTGTTTTATTTATTTTTTAATATATGAAATTTATTGTCAAATTGGTTTCCATACAACACCCAGTGCTCATCCCAACAGGTGCCCTCCTCGATGCCCATCACCCACCCTCCTCTCCCTCCCACCCCCCGTCGGCCCTCAGTTTGTTCTGTTTTTAAGAGTCTCTTATGTTTTGGCTTTCTCCCACTCTAACCTCTTGTTTGCTCTTTTTTTAAACTACTTTTTTTCAAAGCATAACAATAATAAATGCTTGTTATAAAGTTTTTATTTATGCTCTATTTATGATGGGGAAGGTGATTCTCACTATTATAGTTTGATATATATTACTCCAAATTTTTTTGAGTATCTTACATTTTAAAAATAATGGGACCATTTTAGACACGCTGTTTTTTAACCCGAATCTTCAGTGTAACAGTATGTCGCAGTTTACTTGTAAGACACGAGACCCCTCACTGATTTTAATGGTTTACGATATTCCTTTTTTAGTTTACTCTAATTTATTGAACCAATGCCCTATTGATAGTCCTTTCGTTACCAACTCATTATTATCAACAATTGAATATTATGAGTTTTCATGCACTTGTGCAGCACCAAAGTGTCTGAAATACTTGACTGTTTTACAATAAACACTCATCATTCTTGAGTATTTCTGTGACAGATTCCTAGAAATGGATTTTCTGGGCTAAAGCTTCTTGCTAAGCAAGTCTCGACAAATGTTTATATTCATGACTACTCTACAACGAAAATGCCTGTTTTCTTACATGTCCAACAATGCAGTACATTACCAAGTTTTATTTTGTTTTGGCCAATCTGATAGGTACAAAATATTGTCATTGCTTTCTTTTGCATTTCTTTAATTATTACAGAGGTTGAGCATCTTTTCATAGATCTCTTGGTCATTTCTGGTTAATTCTAGAAACTGGCTATTATTGTTCTATGTCTGTATTTCTTTTTTTTTTTTTTTTGAAGGAATTATGTTGTTTATTTAAAATTATTTTTCTAGTCAGTTATTTAGCTATGATATTATTCCTGGCAAATCACTGTGCATATCATGAGGCCTTTTTTTTTTTAATATGAAATTTATTGTCACATTGGTTTCCATACAACACCCAGTGCTCATCCCCACAGGTGCCCTCCTCAATGACTACTATGTCTGTATTTCTACTTGCTTGTCTTTTCTTGTTGATTTGTCAAAGTTCTTGTTATATAAAGGAATATAGCCCTCTATTATGTCATTTGCATAAATTCCTAAGGCTTTCTTTTGACTTTTTATTTTAAGTTTAATGTAGTTATATTTACCAGTATTTTCTAATTCTGGGTTTGTGTCATGCTTAGAAAGTCCTTCTCCATATATTTATGCTTTCTTCAAGTATTTTTATGATTTCATTATTTTACATTTGTATTTTTGAAGCATCCAACATTTATTTTAATGTAAAGTATGAGATGGAGTCCCAGTTTCTTCTTGTCACAAGTGGCTAATCAGTTGGCCTGATACCACTCATTAAATAATCCATTTTTCTGTACTAATTTGAAATGCCACATTTACGATGCACTAATCAAATACAGTTGGTGTATTTCTGGGATCTATTTACCTTAGCCCCTGAACCAGAATGTGGCAATTTACTTTTGAGTAAATACATTCTTAACAGAAAAACAAAATACTACTGCTGTGGAGTTCAACATCCCTAGACAAAATGGAAAGTTCCTCTTTACCAATTCATCTTTCAAGATGAATCTTTGGCAGTAGGGTTAACATAACTAAAAAATTCAAATTTGGCATCATGCCCAAGTCACTGTGAGCTTTACCCACAATTCCTTACCCCCACTTTACGTGTCAAGGAGGGATTAATAATGTTCATCTCTCGATGTCTGGCCAGTGTGTTCAGAGTGACAAAATAACCACAAATTGAAAGTCTTGTATATAATAAAGGTTTCTGGCATCAATCTAAGCAGTGGAACTTCTCCTCTGAAAGAGGCCCTGAGTATGAATGGATGTTTAGGTTCATATGTAGATGTAACTATGAATCTCTTTTTTCAGCTAGTGTATCTAATCCTGTGTAGGTTTACATTGAACATGTAAAGCAGACATGGTATTTTATTGTAAGGGAACATATCTGAATGGATACAGTTCACACAAAATCAACAATGGGAATTCCAGTCTGCTTTCTTGCCTGTGTGTGTGCTTGTGCGTGTATGTGCGTGCATGTGTGCATGTGTAAGACTCCCCTTACCACAGCATGAAGGAAAAGAATGACCCTGTAACCTACCATCTCAGGACCTCTGATGGAATGCCACATTGTGCCTTTTGATTCCATTGTGTGGGTTTTATACATTAACTCAGTCCTCCATTTACCCCAGGGATACAGGAGTGCTGATGCACAGGGGCACATGTACCCCCAATGTTTATAGCAGCACTTTCAACAATAGCCAAATTATGGAAAGAGCCTAAGTGTCCATCAAATGATGAATGGATAAAGAAGATGTGGTTTATATACACAATGGAATACTACTTGGCAGTGAGAAAGAATGAAATCATGCCTTTTGCAGCAACGTGGATGGAACTGGAGGGTATTATGCTGAGTGAAATAAGTCAGTCAGAGAAAGACGGATTATCATATGTTTTCACTCATATGTGGATCTTGAGAAACTTAACAGAAGACCATGGGGGGAGGGAAGGGGAAAAAAATAGTCACAAACAGAGAGGGAGGGAGGCAAACCACAAGAGAATCTTAAATAGAGAACAAACTGAGGGGGGTGGGCAGGGGAGAGGGGGAAATGGGTGATGGGCATTGCAGAGGGCACTTGTTGGGATGAGCACTGGGTGTTGTATGTAAGCCAATAAATTATATTTCAAAAAAAAATACCTCACTCCTCCTATGTAACACCTGTCTGTAGGGTCAACTTGCCTATTAGAGTAGGCACAAAGCCTAGGGTCCTCAATACTTCTAGGGGGCCACAAAACTGTTTTAATTTTTTTTCGAATCAGAAGCAAAAAAAAAAAAGCAAAATGTTTTTTCATATAATATTAGCATTATATTATTAGCATATTCATCCTTATTATAATCTTATTATAATATTTGTCTTTGAAGGATGGGGACCACAAGAGCCATAACACAGCCTCGCCAGTCCCTCAACATTAGAAAGGGACAATTAAACATTTTAGGTCTTACATCTCTATTCTCTTCCTGGAAATTCACAATTAAAGGCTCACAGGAGCTCTGCAATGAAAACAACTCAACCCAACCCAACAACAACAGGAACAAATTAAACAACTTCATTTTTACTCTAGGGTTCTCAAGGCTTATTTGATCCTGGAACTTTTTTTTCTTCTCCATAATAATTACTATCTTCTCCGAGCAATCCATGGAAGAATTTAGGAAATAATTAGCTTTCTATCGCATTAAGATTCAACACTGATCCAGAGAGTCTAGCGCTGAAATTTCTCAACCATCTTTTTTTTTTTTCTTAAGCAGACTGCTGCCCAGAAGCCTAAAGGATTATTCCTTGCTCTATGCAAATAGAACGAGAATGATAACTTGATGCTGTTTCAGCAGCCTCCCACCAACACGGCCCCGCCTTTCCGTTCGGCAGGAGAATCTTCTTGTTGCCCAAGCTTCAGATTTGTGCTACACCGCTCACTGAGACCCATTTCCATTCCGCTTTCTTGATAGGTTTGCAGCAGCATGAGGATGAAAATAATTCCCAAATGGCAAGGAAGGGTGAAAAGCTGCTGTCCTGAATCCCAGAACATGTTACTCCTTAACCTGTCAGACCTTACTAAGAGGGACTTAAAATCCCTCGGTTCTCAAAAGGTTGCTCCAGGAACAGATTTCTTGGTTCCATCTGCGTTCCGGCTGTTCCCACAACCCCACAGCCTACCGAGTTTGGCAGTGCTTGGCTGCACAAATGCCTAAAATTACAATGTGCTTTCAAAATTCAATCCACAGCAAAACTGACCTCACCTACAAGCATCTCCAAGTTACATTTAATAAAACGATAGGAGTTTGAGGTAGAAGGCAGAAGAAGGGTAAGGGGGTCTGGGGTATAAAATAAAAGAAGAAAGTGTCTTTTAAGTTTATGCTAACTAATGTCTCTTTTTAATATATTTTTTAATTTTTAAAAAAATTATTTAAATGCTTATTTTTTTTTATTTTTTTTTTATTTTTATTTTTTAACGTTTATTTTTGAGACAGAGAGAGACAGAGCATGAATGCGGGAGGGTCAGAGAGAGGGAGACACAGAATCTGAAACAGGCTCCAGGCTCTGAGCTGTCAGCACAGAGCCCGACGTGGGGCTCAAACTCACGGACCGTGAGATCATGACCTGAGCCGAAGTCGGCCGCTTAACCGACTGAGCCACCCAGGCGCCCCAATGCTTATTTATTTTTGAGAGACAGAGCACGGGGAGGGGCAGAGAGAGAGGGAGACACAGAATCCGAAGCAGGCTCCAGGCTCTGAGCTGTCAGCACAGAGCCTGACGCGGGGCTCAAACTAATGAACCACGAGATCATGACCTGAGTGGAAGTTGGACACTTAACCGACTGAGCCACCCAGGTGCCCTCATGTCCCCTTTTTAAAATCAGTTTTCTTTTTGATAGAAAAAGTCAAAGACCCTATGTCCTTTCTTTTCAGTTTTCCAGGGTTTATCCATTAGGGAGATGGTCTCTATTATTTTTTCTGGAAGCAAATGCATTTGTCTGCCCTTAGTGCTTTAAATAAAGTACATATGTTTCTCAACCGGGAGATGCTTAAAGCCTTTTGGTTAAATGGAAGCCACCAAATCTAGGTGGCCATAAGATTTTTTACAATTAGGAAACAAAATTTCTTTTAAGGAAAGAAGACTGCTCGTTTAACTACAGACCTGAATCCTAGAAGATAGAGAACTTAGTT